CGTCGGCGTCGCAGACTCGCCCTGGCAGCCTTACGGTGATGCTACCCCTGTCGTTCGAGCGGCAGTTAGGGCAGTTTACTGGGAAGCATCTTCCGTAGGTGTGGGCCTGCGTCGGCTGGCTCACCCTCCACTGGCTCAGACACTCGGCATGGAACAGGTGACCGCATGGCATCAGGACTTCCGCAGTGCCCAGAATGTTCTCGCTGCAGATCATGCATAAGGGAGTTCCTACGTCAAGGTCCCATGGGGGGGACCTCTACAGCGTCCATGTTCTCTGGGGGAAGTCTGGCATTGTCTCCAGGGGGGTGGCCAATCCGGGTAAGGCCGTCTCCCAGACTCTCAATGAGAGCTCTGGCCGAGACTCTAGCATCGAGATGCGTCAGACTGGCCGCCTCTCCGAGGTGACAAACGAGGGCCTGTATCTGCAGGTTACTGAGCTCGGAGTATGGCGTCAGATTGGCTCCTGGCACCTCCCTGCTGAGACGGGTGACCACGTCCTCCGGCGAGTGCATCTCGGCTCTCGTCATCCACCGGTAGAGTACGTCGTAAGGTCGAGAGTCCACCGCTCGCACGATCAGTACTGGCCTCAGGAGGGGGAAGTAATGCGGCGCCAGGCAAAGCCACGGGGCTTTGGAGATCCAGGTGCCTGGTTGCCCATTAGCTCCGTGGTCTAGCAACATGCTCTGAGCAAGGCACTGCGCCTGGTCGCCATTGACGGAGGTCCTTCCTTCAGGGGCGGGCATGGTCCCCCTGCCTGCGCCCTCCTCGTCTCGTTGTCTGGCGTCTAGCGTGCGGATGAGTCTGTCCAGGTGCTCTTCTCTCGTGCTGCCTGGTGGTAGTCTGCCCTGGGGGATAGCAACGTTCGCTCGGTTGAGCAGTTGTCGTATGTCCGCGTGCCAGGGGGTGGTTGTGCCCGCGGCTTCCGTAGTCGCAGCCTCTGGTCCGAGGCGCGCCCTTCCTTCCTGTGTAGGCCATTGATTCCTTGGATTCGTTCTCTGCTCGGTCCTGGCCTGCTCCGCTCGCACCCTCGCTCCCGCTTCTACTGCCTGCCGGTCCCCTGACGGGACGGCTGTCTGATGGGAGCCACTCGCGTCTAGTTGCTCCATCATCCACTCCTGCAGTCGTGGCGCAATGTAGCTGCCCGCTTCGGGTGCCTCAAGCGCGGATCCAGTGGCCCTGGAGGATGTGTCTGCCTCTGACGCAAGGGCTACCTGGGCGTCCCTGTATGAGAGGACGTCTCGCGCTCTCCACGATGTGGCTGCCTGGTTGATGATATTAGTATTGATATTGGTGGACCTAAACGCCGGCTCGAGCACGATACGGCCCCCGTCTGTGGCGGTGCCCCATATGACGGGGACCAGGATTCGGCTCCACCGCAAGCCTGGGGTAACGGAGCTACTGGCCACCATCCTCCTGATTCGTTGCACCTCGTCGACGAACGCTTCTCGCTGGGAACGCTCAGCGGGGGAGAGGCCCTGCACGGGGTCGGGGGGAGGTCTGTGGAGGGCTGCTTCTCTGCCTCCATCTCCGCTGGTGGGGCTTCTTCCGTCGCGCCAGGGGTTGTCTACGTCCATGGGGACGTGTCCGCCACTGGGTCGTTCCGCGTGTTCGTGGTCGTGGGTACCACCGTCTGACTCTAGGCGTCGGATGACGGCGTCTGTAACGAGGTTTCCCAGGGGGGTTCCTTGCCCCATTTGGGCATGTATTGGGCGCCAGTCGGTGCGAGCTGCTGCCTGTAGCGCACCTCTCATAACCTCGGCTGCCCGGGCGTCTGGACTGTCTCTGCTGTGCCGCCAGCGTCTGCTGAGGACCATGCCGTTTCGTGTGTCGCTTATGGCTCGGTCCAGGTGATCCCCAGCAATGGTGGCGTTTAGCCAGCGGAGATCATCCAGGTTTACCACGGTGTTCGGTCCTATCGTGATCGTCGCGGTTGGCCTGCTCATTGGGGGGGCCCTCCAGTGCGGTGGTGGGTAGATGGTACGTGTTCGGGTCTTCGTGATAAAGCTGCGGTGGGAACCAGCCGCCCAGTCTCCCCTCTTGGCAAGTCCTAAGGACGCGGCGTATCTTTTGGCAGGCATGAAGGGCCCAGGAGTCTGGCGCGGAGCAGAGTAGGGCAAGGGAGACCGCTGCTGTGCGCAGTTGCCACTCGCCGTCAAAGTCTTCCCGGCCGATGGTGCCGTCGTTGGCCCAGATCTCAACCTGGCCTGAGGCTTGGGCCACCATGTGTCTCCAGGCTCCCAGGAGTTCGCCCACGAGCCAGGTCGGGGTGAAATCAGAGGGGCCCGGTTGAGCTGGCGAGTAAAGGTGCTCTGCGATTGGGGCGTACCGCATGCCCGCCATGACCAGCTGTGATAGCAAAGTGCTGTCCAGAAGGTCGAGCGCGTGCCTGTTGAGTGGCTGTTCCATGTCGGCGTCAGGGTGAACCTGATGGGGGTCGCCCGATTGCCGCTCGCCCCCTTTATAGCTCCATGGGTTGGCCAACCTGTGGCAGGTGATGCAGCGTCGGCCCGTGGGGTCTCGAAGCATCCACGAACCGCAGAAGTCGCACCGTTGAGTCGGGCAGAAGAAGTCATGCGTCAGCAGGCGGTGCGCCGTGGTGGACCAGGGCCATGCGTTGTCATTACTGTCGCCACCTTGGATCGGCACCCCAGGGATGCCCGCTGAGCTGGCGGTCACTCCTGTTAGGGCTGGCTCTGCCCATGGTACTGGGCCTCTACCTGCTTGTGGCCTCGAGTGCACATCGTTCCCAACCCGCTCAAGATTGCCCCTCCTGATGGCCCACTGTCTGATGTCCCCGTGGTCCGGAAAGTGAACAATGTTCTGCCTGCGCTCATGGATTAGGACTCTATGCGCATACGCCCTGGTTTCGTCGTCCATGGGATCCTGGGTCCCGTCTGGTCGGTTAGGGCCGCTACTGTGCGGGGGCACAGCGTCACCGGGAGACCTGGTGGGCGAGAGCATGCTGTCTGTGTCGAATCCATTCGGGAGTTCCATACCTATGTCGCAGTGGTGTGCTGCAGTGACCATGGCAACGTACTCGAGGCGCGCGAGTTGCCTTTCCGCCACGGAGGGATCATCTGCGTCCAGTCTTTCCCTCCTTATACTGGGGTCATGGGTGATACTCGCGAAGCGGAAGGCTAGCACTTGCGTCGGGTCTGGTTGCGCACCCCCGAGGCGCCCTTCGTGATCTCCTCCCGTGACGGACCAGACTAGCCAGGAGAAGTCTAAGATGGCGAGGGTTGGTGCCGAGGTGGCTCGTTGCGAACCGAGTCCAGGGAGGAGAGCTTCTGCTGGAACCGCGCGCAGGGGGCTGCCTACCCGCATTCCTGGGTGACCAGGGCGGTGCCCCCTCCACGCGTGGTGCGCGAGGAGCTCCAGGTTCCTGGTTTCGCGCGGTGTTCTTGGTGCCCCTCGATCGGGAATTTCGCGCCAGGGGCCGTCGATACGCACTAGGTGGCGGCAGAGGGCGTTCATGGTGCCTCCCCTGCCAGTGACCCTAGCGTCCGCAACGCGCGGCCCACACATGGGTCCGTCAGCCTCCCGACTGGCTGCCCAGTCGGCATTCGTGTGCCCAGTGGCGTCCAACCATCGAGCGTGGAGGTCGGTTGCGTACTGCCCCCTATCTCTATGGGCTTGGCTGGCGTCGTCCTCGGCGTCCGAGGGGGCGCCCTGGTTTTCCCTCCGCAGTTCCTCCTCCAGGGCTAAGTCGGGAGAGGGGTAGGGGAGCGGGACGGGCGTAACGGGCGTTCTGGGAGCCGCGCACCTCAACACGAAAGGAGAACCGTTGGCCGTCCTGAGGAGGGGTCCACGGTCCCGTCCTTGAGACGGGTCTTCGCAGCCGTGGCCACTAACGCCCAGAGGGCCGTCTGGATGCTCTAGCCCAGGGGGCGAGTCGGGATAGGAGTGGATGGGGGGGGAGCGGGTGGGCGAGGGAAGGGAGACGCAGGGCGATCCCGCGACGACGATCGGAGGTCCGATGTGATCGATCAGATCGACCAGGGAGCCTGTGCCGCCGGCGGGGTCTGCGGAGACCCTGCTGGCATCGGGCGTGCGGATTCGGCCCGTGGACAACGCCGTCGTCGTTCCCAGGGAAGGTCGGTCGCGGTCGGTCGTTTCAGCAGCGGGGCGCGCCGCTCTGTAACTCCTGTTGCCAGACCCAGCTGTCTCCTGCTCGCTTCTTCCTGGCTGAAGGCCAGTCCCGTCGGTGAGGTTAGCGGCGCGGGAGCTGGGCGCTGCTGCTGCGGCGGTGTCCATGTCTCCAGGGAGGGGGGCGGCGGAGTCAGGGCGGCAGCCGATTGATCCGCTTGCGCCGCTGGCTGCGCCTGCCTCGCGGCCCTCGACGTGCCTTCCCTGGGATGGCCCCGTTGCGGAGCCAGTCTCATCTATGCCTACGTCGGCGGGGTCCGTCGATCGCCCGCCGCTGGCTTGGGGATCCACCCGATGGGGGAGGCTCTGAGTGGGTGCACCAGGGAAGCCAGGAGGGTCGGTGTCGTCGCCACTCGTGGTCACAGCCTCTGCGGCGCTCTCGGCGTCCATTGGCGCTGTCTCTGGATCTCGAGCTGAAGGCTCGTCACTTCTGAGGTTGCCCGATACGCCTTGGAGCCTCGAGCTGAAGGCTCGTCCCGCACGTGAATCCCGAGCTGAAGGCTCGCCCCGCCCGCGGCTGTCCAACTGGGGGGCTGGTGGCTGACGAGGGTCCTCGGGATTACAGGGGTGGCCAGGGAGTTGACTGCTCGCAGCGTCGCCGTCGGCGCCAAACAGTCCGCTTGAGGAATCCCGAGCTGCAGACCCCCTCCAATCTGTTGTCTCGCTCGGAGCTCCACGGGCTGAAGGCCCGTCTTCTGTGTGTACCATACTGCTGCGTCCAGGAAGGGCGGCAGGCGCGCGGCGAAACCCGTCGCCACTCGTGGTCGCAGCCTCTGCGGCGCTCCCGACGTCCATTGGCGCTGTCTCTGGTTCTCGAGCTGAAGGCTCGTCACTTCCGAGATTGCTCGATACGCCTTGGAGCCTCGAGCTGAAGGCTCGTCCCGCGTGAGAACCCCGAGCTGAAGGCTCGCCCCGTCTGCGGCTGTCCGACTGGGGGGCGGGCGGCTGACGAGAGTCCTCGGGGTTACAGAAGTGACCGAAGAGTAGACTGGTCGCCGCGTCGCCGACGGCGCCCACCAGTCCGTTTGAGGAATCCCGAGCTGCAGCCCCCCTCAAATCTGCAGTCTCGCACGGCGCTCCAAGGACTGAAGGCCCATCTTCTGCGTGATCCACGCTGCTGCATCCAAGGAGGGCGGCGGGCGTAAGGCGACAGCCGTCTAGACGTCTGCTTAAGTCCGCGGGGGGGGGGGGGGTCGGCTGCGCGGCTGGGGCGCAGTCCTCCACCGTTAGGGGGTTGGCCCCTTCGCAGCTGAAGGCTGCTTCTCTCGGCATTGAAGCGCCCGAGGGGGGGGGGGGGGGGGCTCGGCGGAAAGGAGGCGCAAGCCCCTAGGATGCGAATCGGGTACAAGGGCAGGCGTCTGTCCGCCTCCCCTCCTGTCGTAACCGCGGTCCCCCTCTTGAGTGGCCCCAACCCTAGTCCCCCCGCCCTCGTCGGAGAGGCCCCTGGGCCGATCGTCGGGGGCGTCTCTCTGGCGGTCGCCCCTGCGCGGCCAGCATGGGCCTGAGTCCGTCGGGGGATGCACTTGTTCAGGAGTGGGGCCATCGCCCCCCGTGGTCCTGGTGTCGCCATGGGCCATCCAGCTCTGCCCTTCACCGCCAGGAGAGAAGGAAATTGGACGCCCAGCCAGGGGCAGAGGAAGCGTCGGGGCAAGGGAGGGAAACAAGTCCGGCGGGAGGGCGTCATTCCTGTCATTGTCAAACCCAGGGAAGCGACTGAAGGTCGCAATGTCACTGTGTCGCGCGGCGTTAACCGTGGCACCCCTTCTTCCCGTCTGGCTGAAGGCCATTGGTTCTCGTGCGCATGCAACGTCAACGGGAGCGATCAAGGGGTCCGCGGACGCGTTCGGACCGCCCGTGCTCGGAGGGTCCCAGAGGGCGAGGGGCGAAGGCTGCCCTGGAGGGATGGTGTCCTGTGATCCTGGGGGAGGATGTCTTGAGTCAGCCAGTCCGTGGGCCCCCTGGCCGTCGACTGGGCTTGCATCGTCACCCGCGGAATTCCCAGGAATCCTACATCCGTCGTCGATCGGGCTCCCATCCATGCTAAGCCTGACCTGAGGCTGGCTGCCGCGCCGCGCCGCAGGGGCGAAACCCAGGGAGTCTGATATGGCCGGAGCGCGGCCCGGGGGGCAGCGCGCGGCCCGCAAAACTCCTAGGGGATGACCCCTTGAGCTGGGAGACCCGGCCGAGGAGCCAGTGGCTTGAGCCAGGGGGGCTACGGATTGTTTTTTTATATTAAAACAATTACAGCCGCAGGCGGAAGCGCCGGCGGCGAGCAGTCACGGTCGGGCTGCGGCCGTGACGAATTCCCGGGCGCGCGCGGGGGCTGCGGATCAGGCGGCGGGGCAAGCAGCAACCCAGGGCGTCTGAGAGGCCAGGCGGTCGTGCAAGCTGCAACCCAGGGAGTCTGAGGGGTCAGTCACCCAGGAAGCAAAGCGGACGCGGCCAAAATGGCGCGCCGTACGTTCCCAGTCATGGTCGTGACATCCGACAACCGCATGGTGGTGGGAACCAGACTCCGTGCGAGAAAGTCAGCCCAGGGAGTCTGTCGGGTATGAGCAGGCCGAAAGCGTAGCTGACGTGTGGTGGGGGTGCGCGAAGCGTGAAGAATTCCTTGTTCAGCGTGGGTTCAGGGTTCTTTCGAAAGCAGCGGCAACGTGTAGCGCCTCCTTCCCTTGTGTCGGTGCGGGCGTATCTTCTGCAGCGTTGTCCTCGAGTCGCCTGGGCTCGTTTCCACAACGGAGGCATTTTCTAGCGCGTCTCTTCCCTGTGCGAGCCTGTGCTCTCTTCTCGGTCCTGGGTTGAGGCGTTCTCAAAAGCAGCGGCGTTCTGTGGCGCCTCTTCGGACGGTGTCGGTGTCGGCGTTTCCGCTGAAGCGCTGGGTGAGTTAGGCGCTGGGTGAGTTTTGCGCCAATTGAGCGCGGCTGGGTGAGTTCGGCGCCAGGTGAATTCCGATCCGGGTGTGTTCGGCCGGGTGAGGTTGCTGCCGGGTGAGCAGGGTGAGCATTGACCCTCTTGTCCCTCCCCCTCTCTCTCTCGTTCCCTCCTCCTTCCTCTCCCCGCTCTTCTCAGCTCGCGTCGCCGTCGGCGTCCTCGTCGTCACCGCCGCCGCCCCATGCCACTGCTCCGCCTTCTGCGCGCGCTTGCTTCCGTACATTTCCGTGGCCTGGACGATGATTCTGAGGACGCTTATGCTCATGCTCACGAGGAAGAGGAGGACAAGGAGGAGGAGGAGGAGGTGTTCGGAAGTATTGGTAGGCGTGTTCTCCAAGCAGCGCCGTTCTCTAGCCTCCAGCGCCTCCTCTGCCTCTGTCGGTGTGGGCGTTTCCTCTTCGGTACATCCGCATGGTCGTGGTCTCGCATGGGATCGGGCTACTCGTGTCGGCACGTCGTGCCGCGTCTCCTGCCTGTGCCGCTGCGGCCGCTTCTCATCCACCGAGGATTACCCTGTTCTGCAAAGCGGCTGCGTTTTGTAGCGCGCCCTCTGCTCGTGTCCGTCTGGGCGTGCTGTAGCGCGCACGTTCCCTGTGTCAGTGTCAGTGCGTTGTTCCTCGTTCAGCGTGGGCTCGGGGTACTTTCCAAAACAGCGAAGTTTTTTAGCGCCTCATTCTCTTGTGCTGGTGCGGGCGTTGCCATAGCGCGTGTCTTCCTTGTGCGAGTCTGCATTTTCTTCTCAGTCCTGGGCTGGCGCGTTCTCGAAAACCGCAGCGCTTTGTAGCGCCTCTCCCACCGATTCCGACGAGAAGCTCTGGGTGAGTCAGGCGCGGAACGAGCTTCGCGCCAGGTGGGGCCTGGACTTGGGGGGTCCGGACCGGGGGTCTGGACCAGGGGGACCTTCGGGTGCTGTCAGCTTTGTTCCTTTGGTCGCTATCATATGTGTTGCTTCTTGTTGGCTGGCGTTTTTTTGTTCGTTTGCTTCCTGGAGAGGCGGACCAGGAGGTCCAGATTGGAGGGCTGGCGGCTGACTGCTGGGTACCTCGGAAGCGGCCCCCTGCCCTGGCGCGGCGGGGCCGCCCGTGGGGCCTGCCTAACAGCGGTCCGCGCAGGCTCGGCCCCCCTTCGGGCGTGCAAGGTTGGGGTCGGGCGCTCAGGGCTGAGAGCGACGGCCAACGCCTCCTGGGATTCAGGCGGTTGGCGGGGGTCCTTCTTCTCTTCGTCTTCATCCTCCTCCTCCTCCTCCTCCTCCGTTTTCTTCTGCAGGGTCCAGCGCTGAGCGGAATGCCATTCCGATTGCGACTTCGATTCAGGCGTGACGTATTCGATTATGACTCCGATCCGAGGGCCGTGCGGAATCCCACCAGCCCTCTGGGCGTAGGTGGTCTAGAACAGATCCTCTTCCACCCCTCCCTCTTCTCCCTTGGGGAGGGGTTTACCCCTCCCCCTACCCGCTCCCCTGGACCTGGACGGAGGGTTCCCCGAGCGGTCGGACGGCTCTTTTGGCCCCAAGATGGCTTCAAGAGCGCGTCAGAGAGCCCAAGATGAACTCCAAGATGGCTCAAGATAGCGCAAGATCGCTCGAGATGGCTCCTAAGATGGTTCCAAGAGGCCCAAAGACGGCCCCAAGACGGCTCCAAGTGGCCAAAGAGCTCCCCAAGGAGGCCCCGAAGAGGCCAAAATCGTCCCAAAACCTTAGGAAAATCCATGTGTTTTGCTTTCTCCCCGTTTCGCTTCCGATGGCCATCCAAGGCCTCAAGATGGCTCCAAGATGGCCCAAGAGGGCCCCACAAGAGGCCCAAGAGAGCCCCAAGACGGCCCCGAGAGCGCCCAAGAGCGCTCCAAGAGCGCCCCAAGAGCGCCCCAAGAGGCGATGTTTGGAGCTCCTGAGGGGGGAGGCTAATTAGGGAACCCCCCTTCGTTGATCGATCTCCTCCAAAATGGCCCCAAGAGCGCCCCTACAGCCCCCAAGAGCGCCCCAAGAGCGCCCCAAGAGGCGCCCAGACGGCCCCAAGAGGCGCCCAAGAGGCCTCCAAGAGGCTCCCAAGAGACCCCCAAGAAGCCTCAAGAAGATCTCCGAAATGCATTTAAGACGCTTCTGGCTCTTCGGTTCGCCGTCCTCTTCAATTTCTCATCCCCCTCTTCCTCCTCCTCCTCCTCCTTCTCCTCCTTCTCCTCCTTCTCCTCCCTCTGCTCCTTCTCCTCCTTCTCGTCCTCCTCGTCCTCTCCCTACTCCACATCCTCCTCCTCCTCATTATCCTCCTCCTCCTCCTCCTCCTCCTCCTCCTCCTCTTCCTCCCCCTCCGAAGAGGATTCCTTCTCCATCCTCCCCCTCTTGGGGTACGTGACAGCTTCCCCCGCCCCTTGTTATTCTGCATGCTCCCCGACTTCCCTGATCACCTCAACTCCCCTGGGCATCGTTTCTGGATGGGCTGGTGGGGATACTTTGTTTTTACAGCCGCGGGCGGAAGCGCCAGCGGCGGCGGGTAACGGTCGGGATGCGGCCGCTACAAATTGGCCGGGGGCGCGCGCGTGCCGCGGCCGGCGCCGGGCGGCGGGTGCAAGGGTGCTGCTGCCCAGGGAGTCTGATGGCGAAACCAGCACCCAGGGAGAAGTAACTACGCTGCCAAAGTGGCGCGATGCAAGACCCCCACCGTGTCAGAGGCTACAGAACTGGTGCGGTCTGAGACACTAACTGAACAGGAGGAAGTCTCCAACCTCGGCGGGAATGGAGTGCAAGGGGATCCAGGGGACCTGCCATGCACAAGCATCAACCGAAAGACACACGAGCAGACGTCAGTCGGCATCCCGTACGAAAGGTTAGGTTCTGACAGCGCCAGCGAACCGTCGCAGCTTCAGAGTACGCACCCACACAGCCCAAAGGCGTGGAGTTCGTGGTGTCAAACCGAACCAAGCACGCCAGGCCCAGGAGACAGCCGCGAATGGATGCGAACGCAAGCGACCATCAAGTGACATGATGTAACGCTATGCGGAAGATACAACTGTCCAAATCCACTACCGGCCACAAACCGCAAGCGACGCCAACCGAATTAGAACAGGGACGTGTACCAGGGAGCCTCTAACGTGACCAGCACAACCGGAGCCGCCTATCCAAAGTACCCTGGCGTACCTGAGTGGAGTAGACGAAGGCGCTCGAGGAGTAGTGCTGCCTCTTACCAGCTGCAGCCCAAGCAACAGCCAGTGGTCACGAAGAAACCCAGGGAGTTGACCGCTCGTCCGGGTGGAGCGGGGGAGCGACGGTGGGATGATGCCAGTCCGGGCGACCGTAACTGGCGGCCAGCAAAGGAACAGCGAAACTGGTGGGGATACGCGAAGCGTCAACAATTTCGATTCTGGTCCGTTCTAATGCGCGTGCTTCCAATTCCGTCCGATCAGATGTTTGGCCGATCCGAATCCGAGTTTCCGATTCGATTGAAGGGGGCCTAGTGAGTCAGACGCTGTGTGAGGTTGGCGCCGGGTGAGTTGGGATGTTTTGAAAAACAGCGGCGTTTTGTAGCGAGTGCTACGCGAGTGGTCGTGTGGGCGTTTCTTTTTCACACTGGTCATGGAGTCGTCTGGGGCCGCATGAAAAAAACAGAGGCATTGCGTTTTGTCGCACCGTTGCTTCGTAAGATTGGGTTGGGGGTGCTATCGAAATCAGGGTTGCTTTGTAGCGTTTCTTTTCCCTGTTTCGGCGCGGGCGGTTCCTCGTAAGTGTATTCCTGGAATCGACTGGTACTGTGTCAAGAAAAGCGGCACTGTGTAGCACGTCGCCTACCTGCACCAGCTGGCACTTGCTTTCCAATCCTGGGTTGGCGCGGTCTCCAACGCAGCGTCGTTTTGTAGCGTCTCGACTGCCTGTGTCCGTGTCGTCGTCTCCCTTTGAAGCGCTGGGTGAGTCAGTTGCTGGGTGATTTAGGCGCTGGGTGAATCACGCGCTGCGTGAGTTCGGCCAGATGAGTTCGGCGCCAGGTGAGTTCCGAAGCAGATGAGTTTGGCGTCGGGTGAGGTAGGCATTCGGTGAGCGGTTTGAGCAGTGCGCCTGTCTCTCTCCCATTGTATCCATCCTCCTCCTCCTCCTCCTCCTCCTCCTCCTCCTCCTCCTCCTCTGCTTTCTTCCTTTAGCTCGCGTCGCCGTCGGTGTCGTCTTCGCCGCCGCCGTCTCCGCTGTGTGTCTTCGGCACGCCTGGCGCGCGCGCTCCTCCGAAGAGGACGACGAGGAGGACGAAGAGGAGGAGAAGGAGGACGAGGGGACGGGGAGGATTACAGGGAGGAGGAGAAAGAGGAGGTGGAGGCGGGAGGGAGAAGGCGGACGACGAAGAGGCAGACGAGGAGCAGGAGGAGGAGGAGCAGGAGGAGGAGGGGGAGCACGAGGAGGAAGATGACGAGGAGGACGCTGAAGTTGTTGGTCTTGACATGGGTTAGGCGCCAGGTGAGTCAGGCACCAGGTGAGGCAGGCGCCGGGTGAGTCAGGCGCCAGGTGAGTTAAGCGCCAAGTGACTTGGGCACTGGGAGAGTGAGGCGCCAGGTGAGTTAGTCACCTCGTGAGTCAGGCGCCGGATGAGATAGACGCCAAGTGAGTCAGGCGCTGGGTGAGCTGGGCGCAAGGCGAGTGAAGGCTGGGTGAAGGAAGCGTAGGGCGAGTGAGGGGCAGGGTGAGTGAGTTGCCGGGTGAGTTGGGCACCGGATGAGAAAGCACAAGGCGAGTGGGGTACCGGGTAAAATAACGGCACCAGATGAGGTAGCGACGGGGTGAAGCGACTCGGTGAGGTAGCGACCGTGTGAAATAAGGACGGGGTGAGTTAGGCACCGGGTGAGTTAGGCACAGGGTGATTTAGGCACTGGGTGAGTTGGGCGCCGGATGAGTTAGGCACAGGGTAAGTTAAGCGCATAGGGTGGTTTGGGCACCAGGTGAATTAAGCACCAGGTGATTTAGGCGATTTGTGAGTTTAGGCTATGGCCTGAACTGCAGTTGAGTTGTGGGGTGAATTAGGTTAAGTGCATTAAGGATCGGGTGAGTTAGACCAGGTGAGTTAAGGACCAGGCCAGCTAGACCGGGTAAGTTAAGGACGTGAGGTAGGCGCGGGAGAGTTAAGGACCGGGTGAGTTGAGGATCGTGTGAAACAGCCCGGATTCACGCCAGGCGCTACCACTGAGTCTTCGGTGGGGTTCCCTGTGCATGTGCCTGTGTAGGGTCACGAAAAGCAGGAGGTGGGTGCCGAAACTGGCAAGGTGACCCCATGTGGGTGCTGCCGACGGGGCCTTAGCTGGGGCTCCCAGTGTTGTCACGAGACGCGTGCGGCGTGAGCCGAGGTGTGCGGGGCGACGCTATGCAGGTGCTGCCGCGCGCGCGCCTGCGGTGGAGCTCCCCGCAGGCCCAGGAAACGTGTGAGGGGTGTGTCGAAACGGGCGGGGGGACGTCGCGCGAGCGCTGCAGCTGGGGCTTTCGGTGTCGCTCCCTGTGGGGCACAAGACGTGAACGGTGTGCCGACGTGGGCGGGCTCACGCCATGCTGGCGCTGCCACTCGGGCCTTCGGCGGGACTCCTGACGAGGTCACGGAACGAGTGAGGGGTGTGCCGACATCGGCGTGGCGGCCCACGGACGAAGATGATGAACTTGCTAAAGGTGGTGACAGTAATAATAATGATAACGATAATGATGATTATGAGTATGAAGATGATGACGATGATGATGATGACGGTGACGATATGGGTAGGACGGGCGGGGAGGACGGAGTGAGTTTGACGCGGGGCGCTGTCTCTTCAAAAGGAGGACCCAACACCACAGGATGGTTGAACAACAAGTTGAAACGAAAACATGTTTGCCAGCGTGGAGCCAGAAACATAAGATACTGCACTGTGGAGGTGTAGGCTATAAGAGGTGTGGTCTACGCGGTGTGAGCTGGGAGGTGTAACTTGTGTTGCGCAGTATACGTGGTGCAACATGTGTGGTATGAGCAATGTGGTGCAAGCTGCGTGGAGAAAAATATATCGTCACTTTATGTTTGTCACCTCATGAATTGGCAAAGTTACTGCTCGCGCATTCATCCGCAATCATCCCAACCTCCCAGCCCCAACCTGTTGTGCAACACCAATGCGGCCGCGATTGCGGTGACTGCTTGGCCCTGGCTGGCGCATGGCGCATCTCTGCGGCCACGCAGGCGCACGCAAGCTCGCGCGCAGAGCGGCCAGCTGGCTTGGCATGACCGATACGGCCGCGATGGCGCGTATCGATGGCAACTTCCCAGCGCGTCTCAAAGGCCGCGCTGGCGGGCGGGTGCTTCAATGCAGGCCGGTTCGGGCGGGCGCGGTATGATGATGACGCCGACAACGGCGGCAACGATGATGATACTAGCGATGGTGGTTGCATTGATGACGATGACGACTGAAAGGCCAATGACGGCGCCGATGCTGGTGACGACGATTGCACTGATGATGTCTGGGTGTCGGTAATGATGGTATTTGTTTGGTGGTGGCGGCAACGGCGGTGACTGTCGATGGCGATGACGTGATGCGGCGGCACTGATAAGAGTGATGGTGAAAAGTGCGCGCGTTCGCAGAAACTCAGATAGCAGGGCAGCATGTGTGTTCAACCACCTGCGATTTATTTCACGTGTTTCCAGAGCTCTACCATAAACTGGTTCGAACCCAATGGTGTTAGAAAGATTTCGACCCGCGCGCGGGGCGGAACGCGCCTGTGCCCCGCATGGTATTATTCGATACGGATTCGGGCACTGGGCACATGCTGGATCAACGAGGACGCACCGCGTGGAAAGATGAGAATGCTGTCGCTGGACGAAATTGCTAAAACCAGATGGCCTTCCTGCGATTTCAACACTTGCGCGTGGGCAGAACATATGCAAGAAATGTGATGGATCACCAAGCGGTGTTTGATGCCCGCGTGCCAAAAGTATTCTAAAACGGGTGTGATTTGTATGATTTCAACATGTGCGAGCGCGTATGTTTTTGTGCGTTTTGTTGCAACATATTCTGCACTGCTTGACAGGGGTGAGGGGCGATATTAAGCCTGACTGTGATGGTGTGAAATCCTATGGAAAACGGGCGGTGAAGAAGAACCATGTGCAATTTGCAGTGTCCCAGGGGGGGGCGACAAGTCCGGGGGTGAGAGGGCGGTCGAGATCTTTCTTTGCTTGAAAGGGGAACATACGTGGTGCAAGCCATGCTGCGCAAGCTATGTTGTGCAACCCAAGCGGCACACCCTATTTCTGTGAATGGCGAATTGGCAACTCCACTTATCGCGGAAACATTCAACTCTCCCGGCCCCAACCTGTCGCGAGCAAAACCAGTGCGGCTATGATCGCCGATGTGCTCAGCACTGGCCTGCGCATCTCTGCGGCCGCGATGGCACGCGCGAGCTCGCGCGCAGAGCAACCAACCTGGTGGAAACTTCCCAGCGCGTCTCCGAGGCCGCGCTGGCGCGCGGGCGCTTCAGTGCGGATCAGTGGCTCGGGCGGTCGCGGTATCATGGTGACGTAGACAACGGCGGCAACGATGGTGATACTAGCGATGATGGTGGCGATGTTGATGATGATGATGATGATGCTAAAGATGATAATGATGATAATACTGATGACAACGGTGACGATGATGACGATGATGATGATGCTGATGATGATAATGACGACGACGGCAAGGCCAATGACGGCGCCGATGCTGGTGAAGACAATGACTAAATGACTAAATGACTGCAATAGTACCATGTCACATGACTGCTTGACAGCACGGGCACGCACGCGCCCGCCTGGAACTGGACGAACAGCGAGTGGCCGCTGCTCTATCAGGAAGGGGCTGCGCCTCGGGCAGCCTCCTCCTTTGCCTTGATTCGGGCATGCAATGCTGCCATACGAGCCTCGTAGGACAACGCAGAATCGGGATTCGATCGAGTAACACTTGTGGAACTCGAAGAGGGCTGGGCTCTGTCAGGGGCGACTCTCTGAATGGGCGCAACAGAATCAATGCGTTTGGCCAGCCTTTTATGCGGGCCAATACCCCTTCTGAGATTTCGCAGCACTTCGTCACCCTTGGCCGTGGGCTTCACGCATGGGGGCCGAAGCTTATCTTTCCGACGTTGCTGAGCCCAGGCCCCGCACAGATAACAAACAAAAACTGGAGCTGTGCAGGCTGGCCCCGCACAGCTCCAGCTGGTCACGCCCCCCTGGGAAACAGCAACCAACTGGTGGCCCAGGGGATTTTGCCTGAAGTCTTTCAAAAACTTGGGCAAACCTCTGCAGCCCAGCATGGACCTGTCTCGGCCTGGCTCCAATACGCTGAGACAATTCCTACACTGGGTGCCGATGGATGTCCTGCACCAGTCGCGTCAGTTTCCTTTCATAGTGTGCCTCGAACGAGCGAAAACGGGGAGCCTGGAAAACCTCTCCTTTTGCTCGAAACACGGGAAAACGTGGGCACACAACTTAACAACGAAAGTGGCGTCGGTGCTGGCTTCATCAACTCTCTCAAGGAACTCAGGAGAAGCGGACGGGTGCAAGAGCGCAGCTTTTTTTGGGCAAACACATCGGCGACCACATTGGCGTCAGTGATGCGCCTGTCCTCGTCCGAGAGCGCCTGGTACTGCTCGCCAGACTTGTGGGCCTTGACGTGGCGGGCGCTCTGGATGTTATCATAGCCGCGCATCTGGTGGCCAAAGAACTGCACGCACGAGTACATTGACCTGGCCTGCAACTGTTCCTGCTTCGATTTCAGAGCCGCCTTCGCCACTGCCATAAAATCTACATATACCGGCGAAGGACGGTCGGCGATCTGCCCGACAAACGCCATGCTCAGGAACTCCGCCATCGCTGACGACTGGGGCATGGCTCTTGAAACCGCGCCGTACATGACTGCAACTGGCGTGTCAGCCGTAGGGTTCGTCAGCACCACAGCCCACCCAGCCCTCTGAAGAGTGACAAGAGAAGGCTTGCTGCATGATCCATCAACTGCGAATTCTAACCTGTCACCTTGTACAGGTTGCTCAGCTAATTGTTCAGGTTCCGCATCTATATCTTCACCTTCAGGAGTGACTAAGTGCACCTCAACTCCTGGATCGAGCTCTGGGATGTCGCTGTCCACGTAGGTGAAGCAGCCTTGGGTATAGCATCTCTCATCTGGATGATCAATTCCTGCTTGGATAAAAGATGCTGGCACCTCATATTCGGCTCTGGCTGCAATCACCTCTGGCAAGGTGCACTCAAACAACCTGTGGTGAACCGTATCTGCTGCTCCACACTTGCAACGACCATCAGTTTGGTAACCTCTGAGTCGAGCTCGCTCCCTGGTCCAATGACCTTCCACCGCCGACGTGCGAACCAGAAATTTATGATGCTTATTGAGACGACGGCTCTTGGGACGAACTGCCGCTCTAATCAAATCAAACGAAACTCGAGATCCTGGAGGCGCTCCCCATTTTACAGCCAAAGTCATCTCAAGTCGACGCTGCATGGCCTTGCCCATGAGATCCTCAATAATGCCAGGTGTGAGTTGTTCAAGGGGAATATCAGCTCCTCGGTGATCTTTCCAAACTGTACTTGACTGAATTGTCCAACCAACTCTGTGTACACCCAGTGCTGCACGAACAAGGGGACCTCGCGTATCCTTCCATTCCAGTGCTGCAATATCAAGGTGGAGCAATGCCTTGCCCCACCATGACTTGAGCACCTGCAAGGATACAACTGCTGTGTCAGGCCGCGATACTGCCATCCAAACCATTCGACTCCATTGCAATGCTGGCGCCACAAATTGACGTAATGCTGGGTCGCCGTCTAATACCAGCTTTGCTGAGAGAGAAACGCCTCCGTGGAAGGGTTTGACCTGTCTGCAGTAATCACGACGCAGCTGCAATAACTCAGCATTGTCAAGTCCCAAGGTCTCCACTCCGTAAGTTAGCGCAGGCCGGGCGCCAGCACGAAAAACTTTGCCAATCCTTTGCTCTTTTAGCTCTGGCATGGCCCTCTTATACCGCCTTAGTTTACGAAGTCGTTGTCGGTGCTTGGCCTTGCGCTTGGACACCTTCGCTCGTGTTCTCGGAGCCTTTCGAGCTCTGCCTGCAGCTTGATCCGTGCAAATATAGGTGGCCGTTGTGACTGCCTTGTCTGCCGAAACGCCAAGCTTGGTAGCAACTTCCTCTGCCAGTTCACGCGTGTTGGCGAGGACTGCGAACTTCTCATTGATAGTGGCCCCCAGTGCTGCAGCCGTCTCCAAGAAACCTTTGCCAGCTTCGACCGCAAGGGAGATGACTGAGGATCGGTCTGCACTTTCGACTCCCATGCTCGAGTCGTCAATGTAGCTGGCGAAGTCGACTAAGGGATGGAGCGCCACATAATAATCATACTGCTCGACGGCGTGCACTTTAATGGCTATGTCAGCCACCCCGCAGCCAGCAGGAATACCATACTCTGCATGTCCAGGTTGATTGCCGTGATGCTGCAGCAGTCGGATCAATCTCGGCGCACGCCAGGTGTTGTAGGTGAGCTTGACTGATGCCGCCGCCGCTACGAAGCGAATAAACTTCTGCCGCAGCTGCTTCAACTCGATGTTCTCGTAATACTTCGAGTAATCTGCGATGAGCGTGACAGAGAAACGATCTGCGGCTGTGCTAGCTTCTGTTCGAGCTGCTAGCTTCCATGCGCTGTCGATTGGACTTCGACCTTTGCCAGCACCCCAGTATTTTCTGTCCAAAACATTCATCAAATCATCATATTCGCATCTCCCCATCCTTTGTCATGCGCGGTAGGCCGACGCGTACAAGATGATGAGACGGTGGCCTCCCTCAGGCTTTGGCAGCATCGGCATGATAATCCATACCAGCTGCTTGGGAAGCATCCCAAGTGATTCCATAGCTTCGTGCAGTACTGCTAGCACTCGCAATGCATCGTCACTGAGATGCAACAGATGTCGTGGATGAAGCCCGTCGAGACCAGCTGCAGTAGTGCTTGAAAAAGTGCGAGCGGCTCTGCGGATATCCTCTGGTTCCGCTCGCCGATGAGAACTTCTGTCGGGGATCCAAGCTCTAAGGGCCTCCGTGGAACTTCGCCATCTCGATTTGCATTCAGCTTCCATAGCAGCAACAACATCATGAGGATGAGCTGAATACTTCCCAGCACTAGTTACAACTGTGGTGGGAGCCTGTACTTGTCGAACTTGTGTCAGTCTATGAAGGCCCCGAAGTCCTCCAGCGCTGGCTTGTCGACACCAATATTTCCATCTCGTTTGACTGTCTCTGTCGGCTTCCTGAAAGGCTTGATCAACATAATCTTGCCGCTCGTCTTGCAACTCACGTATGGCATCTGCGTGAAAGTGACTGCTGACGACTCGACGTGCTTGCTCGACGCTTGCATCCAACCTGCGATTTAAGCCTTGCCCAGGGTATGCAGATGACTGCAGAAAGATAATATCGTCCTGCATCTTGTTAATCTCCTCGGGCTGACGGCTTTCACGCAGTTGAGCGATTGTTGCCATCATATCAGAAAGCCATTTCCATCCATCTGCACGCGCTTGGATTCCAGGGATGTCCTTCAGCTCGTAGTGGATGTCAACCCATCTTGGCTGAAGGAATTTGGAGTAAGCGCCGTAATCTTTAACCTCTGAGCCAGTAATATGAGCAATGCGACGGGCTGCTTGCTCGGCGAACTGACCCCATGCCAACGTTAGAAGACCCCGCGCTGCATCTGGCCGTGCTTCTTTAGCTAGAACCAACGCCTCATCAGCATACCTAGCTGTCAAAGTCCAGGGATCTTCTGGCAAGCGAGGGCCTTCGGGATCAACCGGTGTCAACTTCGGCGCCGCGCCGTAGGTCATGACTTGCAAGGACTTGCCAACTGCCGCCATGTGCAGGTGAACCGGCCTATGCGGCTTGATGTGCCACTCGGCGTCCACCGTGACGGTTCGAAAAAGTAACATAGCGGCCTCACTCAGCGCGAAGTAGTCGATCGTGGATGACGAAGCTGGAGTGCGACAGGTGACCTCTTTCGGCGCTGTGAGCTCCACATGCGCATGTAGCGGAAAGGTCGACTCCTCAACGATATCTGTACTCATGTTCCAGTCGCCTCCAATGAGCGCTGGATGGGTGAGCCCCGCCATCTCTTCTCCAACTTTGGCAAGAATGGTCGCACTCCTGACTGTCATGCCCTCACGCGTGTAGAGGTAGATGTTGAATATACTCAGGGTCGGCCAGCCTGGTACATCCACTTGAATGTGCTGCGCTCTATGTGCAACTATCTCCGACGTATTAGATGCAGGTGACCAGCGCAGACCAATACCATTGCGAGCAAATACTGCGACGCCTGCCGTGGGAAGGTGTCCTGCTGCGGGAGCTCCTGGCAGCGCGATGACTGACCAACCCATCTTGGCGGCGAAGCTGTAGAGCTCCTCCACATCATGGGCGAAGTATCCGATCTCTTGAGCCAAGATGATCTTCGCCTTGCTTGCTTTGACTCGCTTCTTTAAAGTGTTGCGACCCTGGTTGGCGTTGAAGGTCTCAATCAAATGCAACTGCAGAGCGCTCTCAGGAGTAGCTGGGGCCTGACTGCGACCACCACACACTCTGAGGCTGCTCACTCTTGGAAGCTGATCTCGACTGGCGTTGGACTGAGGCTGTGCGCCTGACTGCCAGTTTCCGCGAGCGGCTTCCAGCAACGGCGGCACCGTGGCCGCAGACGAGGATTGCCCCGAGACCCCCAAGACCCAGGGAACACCAAGGATGGGATCGTTGGCATGTGGCCTGCATCCTATATCAGACTGACCATTCCCATCTGTTGCAGTACTTCCACCAATAGCAGAAGCAACAACAATCTGAACTGACGAAGCCGAGCTCATCGAAGTCGGCCCAGAACTGGAACTGCGTGTGCCATCTCCTCCTTCGTCGGTCCTCTGACCTTGGAGGGTGGCAATGAGCGTGTTAGGAGCTAGTCGCGCACTGACCTGGAGCACCATGATCAGGGCTGCGAGTGCGACTCCTCTTGGCTTTGTGGAGCTTGTTGATGAGTTCGAGCAGCTTGGTGGCCTCGTCGCCTTGGGCTGCAATACTCTGCAAGTCGTTCCACAATTCTTGAGCTTCCTGAAAGTTGAGCTCATCTTCGGTGCCACGCTTGTTGCTGGCGTCCGTGCCTGCTGCAGGTGGAGGTTGCTGCTGCTCCGCCTGCGGCATGGGCACATCCTTCTTCTTGTACTTCTCTCGAATGAATTGCTGGTACTTGGCAAACACGGGATCGGCCGAGAGCTTGGCATAGAATTCAACGAGCTCTGGCACGGCTTTGACCTCTTCGCTCTCCGTATCCAGCTTGAACGTATCTTCGTCGAACGCCTCATCCTTGACGTTGGTCGGGGGCTGCTGCGGGTTGAGCTTGGCCGCACTCTCGGCGACCTCCTGCTGCAGAATTTTGACCTCGGACGTCTTGGCGATGATTGCGCTCTCTTTACCTGAAATGTCTTGTTGTAGCTGCGCCAGTTTGCGCTGCAACTCTTCCAGCTCGCTCTGCTGCCTGACGAGCTGCTGCTTGGACTTCTCAAGCTTCTGCATCGCCGTCTTGTGCGCTGTGGCAGGGGGCCGCAGCGCCCTGGCCTGAGCCCGAAGGTCTTCGAGCGCAGCCTTGTTCGCGTCGTGCACGGCACCGCCGAACTCGGCAGTGTCCCTGACGACATTCTCATACACCTCGATCTGCTTGAGAACGTTGGCACGCTTAGCCTGAGCTGGATCTTGAGCAGCAGCAGCTTCTTCTTGCGACTTGTCACTGTTGCCACTCTTGACTTTGCGAAGCTCCGCCTCTGCAGCCTTGAGGCGCTGCTCCATCTGCTGAATGTACTTGGACTCGGCGCTCCATGGGGCTGGTGACGGGCGCAAACCTGAGCCACCAACTCTCTTGGACGGAGTGCCTGCTGCTGCTGCTGCTTTGTCTGCCTCCCGAGCGGCGGCCACCACACGCATCGGCGCGCTGGCGCCGCACAAGCATGTAATTCGGCTCGCCCAGTTGGCCGCGCGGCCACAGTGGCTGCAGCCCCAGTGCGGCTTGCGCGGACCGCGCAGCACCGCAGGGCTCGGCACCATGGCTTCGACTCTGCTGGCGAAGGGGCTTGGACCGACAGGCAACTTCTGTCGGGATCGGGATCCCCCGAAATTGATTGTAGTCTGGCTCGGGAGACAGAGCTATCCCACTTTGGCACGAGGGCGCGGAAGCCCTCAGGTGCAAACATCTTGAGCCAAAATGGCTACGGAGTGGCGAAGACAATGACGATGGTGATGCCCATGTGCCGGTTACGAAGGTGATTGACTGATGATGACGGCCACGGCGGCCATGGGGGTGATGACGAAGAAGTGCGCGCACGAAGAAGTTCAAGAAACCTGGCGAACCTTTGGTTCAGAGACGAATGGGCTTCATGTGTTTGACGAGCTCTCTCTTACTTCGAGAAAAAAACAATGGTGCTGGAAGGACTTCGACACGCGCACGGGGCGGCGCGCGCGTGGCCCGCATGGCACTGTTCGATACGGACTCGTGCACTGGGCGCATGCTGGAACACCGCAGATGCCCCCCGTGGTGGGATGAGGATGCGGGTGCTGGACGAGACGGCTGAAATCAGATTATCTTCCCATGGCTTCAACATGTGCGCGTGGGCAGAAGATTTGCAAGATTTTTGATGCAGTGCCTACGGGTCGCTGATGTTGTCATGCTGAGGTGCTTGCAAGATGGTATGATTCCGACATGTGAGCGCGCGTGTACTTTGTGCCATTTCTGCGAGGGGCTATTGAACAATTAGCTTTTGAGATAAACGAGCGCGCGCGAATCCTATCATTTGACAGGGATGAAAGGGGTGTCAGTGCCGGCCTCGCTGGGATGGTATGATCTCATATGCAAAATGAACGATGGGGCAGAATCATAGGTTGCTTGCAGTGTCCCAGGGTGTAGCGATAACCCTGGGGGGCGGGTGGTGGAATGAATCCTTCGGCTGCAAGCAGGAAATATGCAGCGCACCCGATGTGGCGTGGGCTTTGTAGTGTACGCTATGTTTATTTTCACGCAAGAACACCCACCCGCATTAATGTCACTCGGGCCCGTCCGCCCGGCATGTATCTTCGCGCCCATGCCTGTCGAATGAGTCCAATCCGAGCTTGCACTGGGGAGGAGGACGAGGAGAAGAAGGAGCAAGGGCGCTGTGCGACGATCCCCTGCGGTCCAAATGGACACGTATAGAATGTTACATCACGCAGCGGCAACCCAGGTGGGAGTATCGAGGAAGGGAGAGAGGGGGGAAGCGCGAACGACAGACAGCTGCGGACAGGGGTGAATACCAGATCCTTGGGTCTGGCCCGCCATTGGAGCCTTATGCTGTGAGGTGGCGTTCACTATCTCTTTCACTCCCTCCCTCTCTCTCGCTCTCTCTTCTCTTCCGTTCTTGCTGCCATCCGAGTGCTTGCAGGAAGCTGGGCGCTGCTGTGTGAGCCGTGTGGCGCGATCTGTGCAGCCTGAGCCGTGATCTGTGAGCTGTGCGGTGCAGAAGCCACGTGGTGCACTCTGTGTGGTGTGAGCTGCGAGGCGTAAGCCGTGCGGCGCGGTGTGTGTGGTGCGAGCCGTGCCGTGTACGCACCGTGCGCCCACGAGGCGCCCCCACGGGCGGCAGCGTGGCGAGACCTCGGCGCACCCGCCCGGCGCACGGGGCGCCCACGAGGCGCCCACCGAGGCGGCAACGCGGCGAAACCACGACGGTGTCTCGGGTCGGCGCTGGACCCGCCTGGCGGCGCCTCCGGCGCCGCCCCCTTGCGGGCGAGCGCCGAGCCGAGGCGCTCGCGCGGGCCTCAGTTTTGTGTGTGTGCGCACGTGCTGTTCGCTCGGCACCTGTACTTCCGGGACTCCGTGAGGTGCTGGTTCAGCTTGACCAGGACCACGCAGCAATGGAGCGCCAGCATCACGGAGTCCGCCAGCAGCGGCACGTAGTTGAGCGTGCTGTTCTGGGCGGCCGCGAAGTAGAGGCCGAGGTACAGGATCTGAGGAGGGGGGGGCAGAAGAGGAGGGGGGGACGAGAGGGGGGACAGCGAGGGGGACGAGGATGATGACGCGCCGATGCGCAACACGCAGCACGCAGCGTATTGACACGGAGCTCGATTGAAAACGTGGGTCTGGCGCGATGCGTTCGCCAACACGTGGACGAACACGTGCCGAGCCAACGCGCAATGTGTGAACACGGACGCTTTGAACACGGCACGTGTTGCGCTTCAGCACGGGCATACCAGGGCAACAGGGATGACGGCAAGATGCTGGGGCCGATGACACGGGCGCGGTCGAGAGGGAGGGAGGAAGAGGAAGACGAGGCTGATGGGGAAGAGAAGAAGCTGAAAACGAATAAGGGACCGAGATGTGAAGAGAAGGAGGAGGAGGAGGAAACGGGACGAGGGCTGGGTCGAGGACGAGGACGAGGACTCGAGAGCGAGATGACGAGGACGAGGACTGGGTCGAGGAGGTCCGAGAGGACCAGGGGGATGACGAGGGCTAGGAGGAGACGGCGGCGACGGCGACGGCGACGACGGCGACAACGACGACGACGACGACGACGACGATGACGACGGCGGCGGCGACGACGACGGCGACGCGACGGCGACGACGACGACGAGGGCGACGGCGACGACGGCGACGACGACGGCGACGACGACGACGGCGACGGCGACGACGACGACGACGACGACGGCGGCGACGACGGCGGCGGCGACGACGACGACGACGGACGACGGCGACGGCGGCGTGGGGCCACAAGGCGTTCTTTTCGTGCCTGGCGCGTTCGACGGGTTTCGGGCCCAGGGGTCCCGCGGACCGATCTGGCTCGAGAGGTGCAGCGGAGAGATGGGGCCGAGGGCGCCAGCTGCGATGTCCCACGATGTTCCACTCTTGCTCGCGTCGTCGATCTCCGGGCTGCTCCTAAGCCCCGGAACGTTTAGCCGATTCGGGGCCCTGATGTCATCCAGCTACACGAAAGCAGAGTGTGTTCCGAGACCGTGAGACTCTGAGGCGAGAAGGCTTAGATACCTTCGAGACATGAGGACCTGAGACCCATCTGGGGCCCGAAAGTCCTCAGGGAGAACGCCAAACTGCCCCAAGGCCTACAGGACCGAGGAGGAATCTTCCAGGCTCTAGACAGCAAGACCCTACAAGTCCAATGCCTTCGCAAACTGAAGCACCAAGGCAAGAAGTCAGAGCGGCCCAGACGTGGGAAGACCCTCGGATCCCAAACCCGCAAGTGACTATCAACATAGACCACATGGGAGATGGCTCTACATTTCTTGAGGGAACAATTGCAACACTAGCCTGGTACTTTGAATTTAAAAGGTGTTGGCGTTGCAGGGTGCAGGCATCCAGCCTCCCTCTCCGCGACATTTGATCCATCTCTCAAATCCTCCTTACGCCCTTCATGTGTGTTGTGTTTTCCGGGGTGCGGCAGGATCCCATCACCTCTGCATCCCTTCCTGGAAGCTGCTGAGGAGGCGCTGGGCCAAAACGAAGAGGGGCATCCCTCATGCTCGGCTCACTGCACTGATTCCGAAAAAGATCGCCTCGTCCGCATGCCACTGCGATTGCCGCTCGTGCTAGTCATCCTTTTCACTGCAGCAATGACCAACACCGCTCATCCCGACGGCTTACACGGACAACCCCAGCCACCCCAGCAAAACCGGAACCGAAGGAGGAGGAGGAGGAGGAGGAGGAGGATACATGAGGATACATCTGAGAGGGGGAGGAGGAGGAGGAGGAGGAGGAGGAGGAGGAGGAGGAGGAGGAGGAGGGGAAAGGAGGAGGAGGAGGAGGAGGAAAGGAGAGGGAGGAGGAGGAGGAGGGGGAGGATGAGGAGAAGGAGAAGGAGGAGGAGGAGGAGGAGGAGGAGGAGGAGGAGGGGGGTCGGCAGAACCACCATCCTTTAGCAAAACACCTCTTCATGAGAACGGCCTGCGGACCAAACCCCGCGGGCCCAGGCCCCCAAGCATGGCGGGTGCACCGCCCTCTCGAGAAGCTCAAAAACGGGCCCCACGGGAGGATTCGCTACTCGACGTGGCAGGGTGGGATTCTACCAGTCCCGCCTAGTTACAGGCGGACTTGATTGGGCAGGACACGGGAGAGGACACAAGACCCTTCCGAGTGACACGTTGCCACACGAATGTAGGAGGCATGGGTCGCGAGGCAAAGGACACAAGGGTACCCTTGATTTGGCAGGGTCGACCTACTACTCCAGGCCGACTGCACCATCGTCGAGGCCGTGCGGAGCCTGCACCCCTATGTAGGCCAGGAAAAACTTGAAGCTCCGCTTGCCCGAGTCGTCCTGCGCCCCCGCGGCGCCCTCCGCCTCCGCTCACTCCATCTACTCCTCGTCCTCGTCCTCGTCCTCGTCTCCTCCTCCTCCTCCTCCTCCTCGTCTCCTCCTCCTCCTCCTCCTCCTCCTCCTCCTCCTCTTCCTGCTCCTCCTCCTCCCCCTCCTCCTCTTCCTGCTCCTCCTTCTCCTCCTCCTCCTCCACCCTCCTCCCACCTCCTCCTCCTCCTCCTCCCTCCTCTCCTCCTCCTCCCTCCTCCGCCTCCGCTCACTCCATCTCCTCCTCCTGCTCCAACTCCTCCTCCTGCTCCAACTCCTCCTCCTCTCCTCCTCCTCCTCCTCCTCCTCCTCCTCCTCCTCCTCCTCCTCCTCCTCCTCTCCTCCTCCTCCTCCTCCTCCTCCTCCTCCTCCTCCTCCTCCTCCTCCTCCTCCTCTCCTCCTCTCCTCCTCCTCCTCCTCCTCCTCCTCCTCCTCCTCCTCCTCCTCCTCCTCCTCCTCCTCCTCCTCCTCCTCCTCCCCTCCTCCTCCCCCTCGCTCTACTACTCCTTATCCTCCCCTCCTCTCCCACCTACCACTCCTTCTCCCCCTCCTCATTCTCGTCCTCCTCCTCCTCCTCCTCCTCCTCCTCCTCCAGACAGCCTCTCGCTCTCCCAGCGCGAGAGAAGTTCAGATTACCTGTTCCCGGCAGACTCGCAAGATGGCCGCATACTCTGAAGAGGGCCGTCTCGAGACATCCTGGCCTTGACCCGCCCACGGAATCCAGAGGCCAGGGCTGCACAGGCCAGCGATCGCTTCGGTCAAGCGGGCGGCCCACGTGCGGGAGCCACCGCTGAGTGTCGGGGTGGCGACCGGGCGGGCCGGGCTGCACGCCGTGATCAGGCAGGCCCGCCAGCACCGCCGCGGGCGAGACAGTGGAGCCCTCTGCAGATGGCGCAGGTCGCGGCTCTCGCCATCGCTCGGACGTCCATTCCCTGTGCATTTGTTCGGTTTCGTGTGCGTATATTCTCGAAGAATGAGCAACAATGCTCCTCCATGGCCCCTGCCGACAGAACATGCGCACGCCCGAGCGACGACGTGGCAGTTAGACGGAGCTGGCAGCTGCTTCGCAGGCAGAGCAGGATGTTCATGGGAGTTCTGCCTCAGCTCGGCGCGGCGGCTCCAAGACCTGGGGTTTGTTCAGGTGGAGCTGTTGGCAGAGATTGCTCTCAAGGCGGCCAGGAGGGCGCAGAACAGAGAGGTCTCCATGTCTTTGAGAAAGCTTCGAGCATGGATTGTAGGAGTCGAGTCCTTGGGTTTAGTACATCGTTCGGTCCAGGATTTGGCCCCAGAGCGGATGGATATCATACTGCAAATCAGAAGCTGGTACACCTCACGAGGCCCGCAAAAGGCTCCCGAGAGAGACCCACGAAGACCATGGGAGGTTCCCAAGAACGCCCCAGTTTTCCAGGATAGCTCCACGGCAGCACAAGATGGCCTCCAGACGGCCCAAAAGAGGCCCCCAACACAGCCCAGCAGGCCTTCAGGAGAGCCCCCAAGAGGCAAACAGCGTCCCAATCCCGGAGAACGTGCATGTTTCGCATGTTCGTTTTTTGTGTCGTAGCGGCGTCCGAGACGGCCTGAGAAGCCTGCGAGATTACCCCAAGGCGGCCGAAGAGGCCCACAAGAGGGCTTCAGGCCAGGCGAAGAAGACCCCAAAACAGGCCCAAAACGGCCTAAAAGAATCCCACGAGGCCCCCCAAGGCTTCCAAGAGAGACCGAGGAGAGCCATGGGAGGTCCCCAAGGGAGCCCAGTCTTTTCCAGCAAAACCCCACGGCGGCGCAAGGCGGCCAAAAGACTGGCCCAAGGGGCCTCCAAGACGGCCCAAGAGGCCGCAAAGACGCGCCAAAAGGCCTTCAAGAGAGACCCCAAGAGGCAAGCATCGTCCCAGTCTTTCAGAAAGCCGTACATGTTTAGTATATTCGCTTTTTGTGCCGTAGCAGTGTCCACGACGGCCAAAGTAGCGTGCGATATCACCCGAAGGCGGCCAAGAGGCCCCCGAGAGGGCTTCAAGCCAGGCCAAGAGGACCGTAAGACTGCCCCAAGACGGCCTAAAGAAGCACACGAGGCCCCCAAATGCCCCCCAAGGGGACCCACGGGGGCCATGGGAGGCCCCCAAGAGGGCTCCAGTTTACCAACAGAGCCCCACGGCAGCGCAAGACGGTCTCCAGACGGCCCAAGAGACCCCCAAGGCAGGCCAAGAGGCCCCAAAGATGCCAAGCAGGCCTTCAGGAGAGCCCCCAAGAGGCAAACATCGTCCCATTCCTCCAGAAAACCGCACATGTTTAGCATCTTCGCTTGATGGCGTCGTAGCAGTGTCCAAAACGGCCCAAGAAGCCTGCGAAGTCACCCCCAGGCGGCCCAAAAGGTCTCCAAGAGGGCTTCCAACCGGGCCGAGAGGACCCCAAGACTGCCCCAAGACGGCCCCACAGAAGTGCACGAGGCCCCCAAAGGCTCCCCAGAGAGACCCACGAGGGCGATGGGAGGTCCCCAAAAAGGCCCAGGTCCCCCAAGAAGGTCCCAGGACGACCCGATAGGGACCCGTGACGGCCCACACGGGCTTCAAAAGGACCCCCAAGCTGGCCCAAAGAGGCGCCCATCGGGGCCTCCAGAGGTCCCCAAAGCCCTTGACAAGCCTTCGTGACGCCCCCAAGAAGTTTTCTATTGAGCCTCCGCAAAAAACCTGCGGCAGATCCCAGGGTACACAAAAAAACCATGAAACATTTGTTCCTCTGCAGCGGTCGGTTTGCGTTGGGTCGACGCGGCGGCGACCCCGGCGCGGGCGTTCAGAATGAACACGGTCAGTGGTCAGGACTCGGCCGGCGTTGAACGGGAATGCGCGATCGTTCACGGCTGAACGATCCAAGCGGTGTCAAAAATCGACGCGCAAGCCGTTACGACACCAACTGGCGCAGGGTCGCGCGAAGAAGGCACGCGATGTTGGTTCGACGTTCTCTCGGAGCCTACCAGGTGGCGTTCTTGCGCCACGTGATCGGGTCCGCCTCGACGTTCGAACCAAACGAACCCCAAGAAGAAAACGAGGGCAAGAACAAATAGAAACGGGCGAGGGGACTGGATGGGAAACGGCCATAGTTCAAAGGCAAAGATGGGATGGCGCCAAGTGCCAACAGATGCAAGGCTTGGTGGACCAAGGTGCACAGCGATAAGCGCGCATGCAGTATCGTATGTATGTATGTACGTATGTAGGTAGGTATGTACGTACGTATGCATGCATGGATGCATGGATGCATGCATGCATGTATGCGTGTATGCATGTATGCATGTATGCATGTATGCATGTATGTATGCATGTATGCATGTATGCATGTATGCATGTATGCATGTATGCATGTATGTCTATATGCATACATGCATGTATGCATATATGCATGTATGGAATTATGTATGTATGCATGCATGCATGCATGCATGTATGTATGTACGTACGTACGTAGGCATGCATGCATGCATGCATGCATGCATGCATGTATGTAAGTATGCATGCATGCATGTATGCATGTATGCATGTATGCATGTATGCAAATATGTATGTATGTATGTACCGTGTGTTGGAATGCATGTATGCATGTATGCATGGATCCGTGGGTGTACGTATGTATGGATGTATGCATGTATGATTGTTTGTTAGTTTGTATGTATACATGTGTGTACAGTATGTGTGTGTGCATGTACATGTGCATGCATGTGTGTGTATGTATGTATGTATGTATGTATGCATGCATGCATGCATGCATGCATGCATGTATGTGTGTGTATGTATGTATGTATGTATGTATGTATGTATGTATGCATGTATGTACGCATGTAGGTGGGCATGCATATGTGTATGTATGGGTGTATAAATGTATGCATGTATCTACGTGTGTATGCCTGTGCATGTGGTTGAGAGTACACGCGCCGATAGCAAGCAACAGGCGCGCACACGGACACACACACACACACACGGACACACACACACACACACACTTTCGGTCGTCGCGGGCTGGGCCTGGCCACTGGCCGCTCATCGGTCCCGCGGGCGAGGGCGCGCCCGCCAAACAACAGAAGGATGCCGGGCCCTCGGGGGGGCAGTGGGCGCAGCGGCCGTGGCACGGGGACGCCGGCGGCGGGCTGGGGGGCGGCAGCGGGGCCGGCGGGCCCGCGAAACGGGCGGCCCAGGGAAGAGCAGCGAGGCCGGCAGCGGGCGGCGGTCGCCAAACGAACGACTGCCACACACACACACACACCAACCACAACACAACAACAAACCAACCAATAGGGTTGAGACATATCAATCACCGAACCTCGAGCCTCGATCCTCCTACTCGCCCCCACTCCTCCTCCTCCCCATCCCGTGCCCAAGAAGAGCAACCGCCTCTTCCCACTCACCCACCCGCGCCTTCCCGCCCACAGCGTCGGAGAGGCCGGGGCCGGCACTCGCCATCGCTCGGACGTCCAGTCCCCGTGCATGTTTCGACTTCGCGCGTGCACTCTTCGCAAGATGATCCAAGATGTTCCTCGATGGTCCTCGCCGCGTAACAACAAAAACAAAAAAGGCACACGTCCGGGCGATGCCAAGGGCAGTGATCTGG